CAGCAAGTAAACTAGAGTGGTCCAATAAAATTCACCCCCCTCAGCATTGACACACATGTGGAACGGAGCTTTGGGCCAAGAGCCAACTTTTGGTCCATCCTGTAAAGACGTTTTTGAGAGGTCTGCCATTGCTATATGTTAGCATTGGCTAATTCTTCTTCTGGGTCCACCCCCATCGGCCCGGGGTGGTATTGCAAGCATGTCAGCGCATGTCATTTTGGCCACTTTTGAGCTGGGACCCGCCCCCACTGGGCCCAACTCGACAGAACACTAGGACACGCCCCCACTGGTCTTATGTCAAGGATATTGTGTGCCTCCTGCCTAAATCCTGTGGAGGGCAGCATTGCGCAGCCCTGCATACAGTCTGCCGCAATTTAACTGAAGAAGAAGAAGGAGAAACTACACTTTTAAATGTGAAAGGATAAATAATTTACTTCGGTGCTTGACTGGCACTGGCAGTGACTGGGGAGCAAATAGAGAAACAATGCTCATGATTTATAGAGCAATGATTCGGTCCTCGATTGATTATGGTTGTTTTGTATATGGGGCTGCCTCTAAAACGGTTTTACAAAAACTTGAAAGAGTACAATCAAAAGCCTTAAGAATCTGCAGTGGTGCTTTTAGGACAACACCTATTCCAGCACTGCTGGTCGAGAAACTCCTCTTGGAATTAGGAGGCAAAAACTTGGGCTCCAGTATTGGCAAGATTAGCTGGATTAAAACACAATTCGGCTGCAAAATGCCTATTGAGTGAATATTGGGAGTTTGATAAAAGAAATGAAAAGAGTAACTTTTTGTGTAGGGTAAAAGAGATTGCTAAAAGGGAAGGATTAGAGAATAATGTGGTAGGGTTGGTGTGGTCATCCATTCCCTTCTGGAGGATGTCAGAACGGTCAGAACCTGAAGTGCAGTTGGATTTTTTGGGGATGGAGAAGGCACAGGGCAAAAGACAAGTGGAGAAGTTCATCAGTGAAAACAAGGAGACTGTGCATGTGTTTACAGATGGTTCAAAGGATCCAGGGTCTAGATGGGCAGGATTTGGTGTCCGTAATAAATTGTGATTTTAATTTCAGTAGTCGAATTAGCGATGGTCTATCTGTGTTCTCTGCTGAGCTTCTTGCTATTTGGTGGGCTTTGAAATGGGTAGAAGATAATAAACCCAGGGATTCGGCTGCGGCATTGCAGGCTCTCAATATGGATCTATTAAAAGGAGTTCACCCTGATCTGGTAGTTGAAGTACTGTCATGTCTTCATCGATTACAATTGGGCGGGTTAAGAGTAAATTTAGTTTGGGTCCCAGGACACTGCGGGATTTTAGGAAATGAGATAGCTGACAAATCTGCTAGCAGTCTCTTCTGAAAGGGCCAATAGGCATTAGGGTACCTTTAGGTAAAGCAGAGGTTGTGAGTGTTTTTAAGAAGCTGGGTGATCAGGAGTGGCAGAGCGAATGGCAAAAGGAAACCAGAGGAAGACATTATTTCAGTAGTCAACCTTCAGTTAAAAACAATAGGGAATATTTAACAACAAGACGAGAACAGGTCATTATCTTGAGGCTAGACATGGGGCATTGTGCTCGCTGCCTGTTTAAAGATTATAGGAAAACATCCAGATGGACTTTGTCAATGTGGCCAGACTGAAAGCGTTAAGCATGTGCTATTGGACTGTCAGAAGTACGCAGTGGAGAGAGAGAGGATGCTGTGTGAATTAAGTGACTTGGGTTTTAAAGTTTTTTCAATAGCGAGTATATTTGCGGAATCGCGGGTTTCACGTTCTGTAGATAGAGTCATATTACAATATCTGCTCTCTACCGACCTAGTCTCGAGAATTTAGTCCCCAATTAATGTGTGTGGGAAGATGACGGAGGAAGGCAGCATTGCGCTGTACCGGCGCACAGCCTGCCGGAAAAAATTAGAAGAAGAAGAGAAACGAAACTTACACAGAGACAGGGAAAGGTGTGGCACAAAAGAAATCAGTCAACAGACCTCTGTGTGTCTCCCATCTCTGAGTAAAGGTGAGTATGTTTGAGTAATGGGCAAAGAGGAAGTAACGATTGTAGTAACGATTGTAGTAACTGCCGTCTCTCATTGCTATGGGTGTGTGTAAGTGTGTGTGTGTGTGTCTATGTGTGTGTGTGTGTGTGTCTATGTGTGAGAGACGTATGACTGTGGCCCAATCCCAATACCCACACTGCACCCTACACACCTCTACGAAGTGTGCATTTGTTCGAAGTGCACACCAGGGTTGGAGTGTGCAGGTTACAAGTGTGCAAAAAAGGTGGAATGGGGACAGTGCACACTGAGTGCAGGTTACGTCATCGACTCGTCAAGAGACGGTCATTTTCAGACCTAAACTTTATAAACATTAAAGGTAACTTTGTCTGACCCTTTGGGAAACAAAATGAATTGCTTCACACACGTTATAATACATGTATATTTGTTGTTTTTAATTAAAGATAGCTGTATAATTTTAGGTTAAATGTGGGTAACTAACTATCTGGTCAGTTTTTATACATTCTAAGATTATTGTACTAAGTGTAAAGTTTAAATTGAATGTTATATAAACGCTTGCTTTAAAAAGTTATTAAATTGTTAAAACAAAATGTCCGTAATAGACTCTGTCAATTCCTGTTTTCGTCCCGGAAACCGGATTCGTCCAGAAGTTCAGTTTGATCCAATGAGCATACGCAGCAGTAGATTACGTCACGGAATCTGGACGGAAGCGGAAGTAAATATAAAAAACTACCTATTCATGCCTAAACTTAAACAGCCATTCCCATAAAATAACCCCAACCCAGCCTTAACCCTAAACTTGACCATCTTAATCAGACGCCTAAACTTAACCAATCACCACTTAAGGACATATTAACGTTTTTGACATGCGCAAACTGAACTTCCGGACAAATCCGGTTTCTGGGACGAAAACGGGAGTGACAGGCTCTATGCACCATGGATCTATTATAATAACTGGATAGGGTATTACTAGCTTGTAGCTGAATAACTCATGTGCTCGGGGGATTCTCGCGGTACTGCAGACTAGACCAGACTAAATTCACGTGGGCTACCCAGAAATTTTCCCCATAGAACTCAATGCATATTAAAACAGCTCATCCTCAGCTGACAGAGAACCTACAGATTTCATAAAGGTCGGATTTTGTGGGGATTTTAGTGTCCCTTGTCATCCTGAACTTTTTTTCTTCTTAAATCCTTCGGTTTTGTTTAAATCCACACTTTAGTGCCACAAACTCTGCTCGTCTGGCTCTTGCTCTAACTCCCGCTCTGATAAACTGCTCTGATTGGTCAGAGCGCGGCCGAGCCCCTCTGTGCACGTGCGTGAGACCCGGTGTGAGACCCACACACGCGTGTTTGGCGCAACGCATTATGGGAGATCATCCACTGCGCAGAACCGGGAGGACCAGACGATGCCCAAATACAGGCGAGTTTCCCAAAGATCTTTGCGAGTTCCAGGCGACTTCCGCTAATCTTTCAGCCCCCATGCCGTCACAAAGCGCCACTGAGCACAACCATTCATTTGAATAGGGCGCCATCTTGGATCGCCGGGGCTTCCTATGCACGCACCACTTCCGCGTTTTAGCTAAAGCCCCACCTCACTTCGCGGGTTCGCGGGAAATGGCTTGAGTTTCACTGGAGTTCAGCAGTGGTTTACACGAGTTTCCCACATAATGCTCAAACAGAAATTATACTATGAGGTAACTGGGCATTTTTGGGACACAACAGTGCTCTTTGATTGTGCTGTCATTGTGTTTTTATAAAGTTTACAAATCGCTCTGAGTGGCCTCAGTCCAAGGTCTACCTCAGAGAGAAAGCCCAGTGACACTTTTGGGTCAGTCTCACAGCTGAATGTATCGATCTAATTACTAAAAAACGTCACTAAAACCCACCTAAAAGCCATAGGAAAGCATAGGCAGGAAGTGAAAGGGCTGTGCTTTGTTAACAGGAAATGACGTCACGCCTCCCCGTGCATATAGCCCATTCTTCATCAGACGTTTATGCTTCTTTCCAAGTAACAGAAAAACTTATTTACACACATACTGCATATATATTTCAAAATGTATATTTAAATGCATTTTCCCGACGTTTTTGTGTGTACCGCAAAGAATTATGGGCAATATCCTTCGCCAGAGTGCGCATAGATGCAGGCTACGGCAAAGTGTGGATTTGGCGGGGCCAAAGACCTCCCTGGAGAATTGGGACACCCTACGCACTCGCACCCTTTATTGGGAACGCGCAAATGAGGGGCGCGAGGGTGGAAGTGCGAGTATTGGGACGGGGCCTGTGTGTCTGTGAGAGACTGTGTGTTGGTGTTTGTCTGTATGACTGTCTGCATGCATGTGTGTCTTTGAGTGTGTGTGTGTGTTTGTCCATGTGTGAGACTATGTGTGTCAGTGTGTTTCTGTGTGTCTGTCTCTTTGAGTGCTTCACGGTGTGTTGTGTGTCTGCCTGAGTGAAATTTTGTTTGTTTCTCTCTGAGTCTGGGTGGGCTTCCTCCAGGTGCTCCGGTTAGCCTAATCTCTCAAAAGAAGCACCATGGGTAAAATCCTCCAGAAAAATGTCCTGCCCACAAACATCAACATGTGGAGATGGGTCATTCCATTGTTCGTTTCCAATATCCTGCTTTGAAAACATGTGTAGTACTTGTCATGGTGTTTACTTCCAAGTTTGTTTGTTTGTGTAGGTGAAATGCACAAGGAAAAAGCTGGAGGGAGGCAGTATCAGTGCCTCACCAAAGGGGGCAACAGTGAGCCTGAAGTTCATAATGGAGTTGCTAACAAACATCAGTCCAATATTTATTTGGAGGATTACGGATTTTTTTTTAAACTGGACTTTTAAGCAAAGCAAGAAGTCATATAAACTTGCAGACCAGGGATCAGACCAGAGATCAGACCAGAGATCAGACCAGAGATCAGACCAGAGATCAGACCAGAGACAGAAGCCTCTTTTTCTTACCGATAAAACCAAATGTGTTTCTCTGTATCTGCAGCGATGGCGGCTGTGAGCTCCTCTCTCTGTGAGGAGCCGTTCCTCTGCTCCATCTGTCTGGAGGTCTTCACTGATCCAGTCACCACACCGTGTGGACACAGCTTCTGCAGCATCTGCATCAACAAACACTGGGACAACAGTGTCCACTGCAGCTGTCCCGTCTGTACACAGGACTTCAGCCCAAGACCACAGCTGAAAGTCAGTACTTTTATGTTAGAGATGGTCTCTCAGTTCAGAAATAAGCCTCAAGATGAAGATCTGCTGATGGAGCCTCAGGCCACTGCTCCAGGAGAGGTGCTCTGTGACCTGTGTCCAGAGCCCAGGCTCAGAGCCTTGAAGTCCTGCCTGCTGTGTCTGATGTCGTACTGTGAGCGCCACCTGCAGCCACACCTCACAAACCCCCGTCTTAAGAGGCACCAGCTGATCCACCCTCTTCTCAACCTGGAGGAGCACATCTGCCCTGAGCACCAGCGGCCCCTGGAGATCTTCTGTAGGGACCACTCACACTTCATGTGTGTGCAGTGCAGTTATACAGATGATACAAAGCATGATACTGTCTTATTGAAGGAGCAGGGAGAGGACCAGCAGGCCACACTGAAGCTACAGATTAAAGATAGACGTGTGAAGGTCCAGGAGATCCAGCGTTCAGTGGAGCAGAGTCAGAGAAAGGCAGACGCAGAAATACAAGAAGGTCTCAGAGTCTTCAAGGCTTTGATGGAGTGTGTTCAGCAGAGAGCAGACAGCTTCAAACAAAGCATTGTAGAAAGGCAGCAGAAGGTGGAGGAGGAGGCCTCTCAGCTGATAGAGCAGATCCAGACAGAGATCTCTGAGCTGGAGCAGAGAGGAGCTGAGATGGAGCAGCTGTGGACCTCTGGAGACCACCTGCATTTTGTCCAAACCTTCACTACAGTCAGACCTGCTCCACAACTCAGCGACTGGAGACAGAAGACTGTCAGGACCCCATCATACAAGGGGACAGGGGCCCAAGCTGTGTCTGAGCTGAGGAGCCAACTGAACACAGAGATGGAGACATTCTTTGAAGCAGAATTAGAGAAAGTACCAGAGTTTGCAGCTGAGGTTTCTCTTGATTCAGACACAGCACATCCTCAATTAGTTCTGTCTAAAGATCTCAAACAGGTTCATGATTGTGACAAAACACAGAATCTCCCAGACAACCCTGAGAGATTTATTTATCATTGGTGTGTTTTAGGGAAACAAAAGTTCTCATCAGGAAAGTTGTATTTTGAGGTTGGGAAATAGGAGTGGTCAAAGAGTCTGTGGACAGAAAGGACAAAGAGTCTCAAACTGTACAGAAAGGATACTGGACACTCTGCTTGGACTATGATCTTAATTACCAAACATCAGATGATCCTCCTGTACGTCTCTCTCTGCAGTCGTATCCAGAGAAGGTGGGAGTGTTTGTGGATCATGAGCAAGGTTTGGTCTCCTTCTATGATGTGGATACAAAGTTTCTTCTTCACTCTTTCATCGATTGTTGCTTCACTGACAACATTCTGCCGTTGTTACATCCATGGTACGGCTCTGATCCTCTGGTCCTGACGCCTGTTGGACGTTAGTTCTACAGCAGAGAGTTTATGAATGAGACACAAACTTGTTGTTGTTGATTATTGCCTTAAACAAGAACATGTTTCATCAATCCACATGTATGGGACATTTTCCTTAAAGTGATAGTCTGTAACTCTAAATGAATTACACATTTTAAGAAATGTGTTAAATTGAACTCCTGGCCTTAAATGTTGATATAAAATAAGTCATTTTATTAATTCTAATATTATGGGCAAGTCCCGCCTTCCCTTCTCTTAGCTATAGTTCATAATCCACGGTGCCGTCGAGGTTAACCAATCGAGTCATGCCAAGGGCTGTCAATCATCAGCGCTGATCCTCGCAGCTGCGCGCATGCTCAGTTGTTTGTTTTCACGGAGCCTCTGAATCAAGCCTCTATTTGGCTCTGGAACTTCATGAAAACTGAACAAAGAATTCTGAACATCTGCGCTGAGGTACTCATGTATATACTGAACCTATATCCATAATCATTTATATACTGAACCTATATCCATAATCATTTATATACTGAACCTATATCCATAATAATTTATATACTGAACCTATATCCATAATCATTTATATACTGAACTTATATCCATAATCATTTATATACTGAACCTATATCCATAATCATTTATATACTGAACCTATATCCATAATCATTTATATACTGAACCTATATCCATAATCATTTATATACTGAACCTATATTAATCATTTATATATGAACCTATATCCATAATCATTTATATATGAACCTATATCCATAATCATTTATATATGAACCTATATCCATAATCATTTATATATGAACCTATATCCATAATCATTTATATATGAACCTATATCCATAATCATTTATATATGAACCTATATCCATAATCATTTATATATGAACCTATATCCATAATCATTTATATATGAACCTATATCCATAATCATTTATATATGAACCTATATCCATAATCATTTATATATGAACCTATATCCATAATCATTTATATATGAACCTATATCCATAATCATTTATATATGAACCTATATCCATAATCATTTATATATGAACCTATATCCATAATCATTTATATATGAACCTATATCCATAATCATTTATATATGAACCTATATCCATAATCATTTATATATGAACCTATATCCATAATCATTTATATATGAACCTATATCCATAATCATTTATATATGAACCTATATCCATAATCATTTATATATGAACCTATATCCATAATCATTTATATATGAACCTATATCCATAATCATTTATATATGAACCTATATCCATAATCATTTATATATGAACCTATATCCATAATCATTTATATATGAACCTATATCCATAATCATTTATATATGAACCTATATCCATAATCATTTATATATGAACCTATATCCATAATCATTTATATATGAACCTATATCCATAATCATTTATATATGAACCTATATCCATAATCATTTATATATGAACCTATATCCATAATCATTTATATATGAACCTATATCCATAATCATTTATATATGAACCTATATCCATAATCATTTATATATGAACCTATATCCATAATCATTTATATATGAACCTATATCCATAATCATTTATATATGAACCTATATCCATAATCATTTATATATGAACCTATATCCATAATCATTTATATATGAACCTATATCCATAATCATTTATATATGAACCTATATCCATAATCATTTATATATGAACCTATATCCATAATCATTTATATATGAACCTATATCCATAATCATTTATATATGAACCTATATCCATAATCATTTATATATGAACCTATATCCATAATCATTTATATATGAACCTATATCCATAATCATTTATATATGAACCTATATCCATAATCATTTATATATGAACCTATATCCATAATCATTTATATATGAACCTATATCCATAATCATTTATATATGAACCTATATCCATATAATCATTTATATATGAAACCTATATCCATAATCATTTATATACTGAACCTATATCCATAATCATTTATATATGATG